CGGCTCCCCGCGCGCCCCTCCCGGGACCCCGCTCGCGCCGACCCTCCCGCCGGCCCTCCCCCCCGGGCACACCCCCTCGGCTGCCTTCCTCCTCCCGAAGTCTCCAGCGCGCGGAGGCCGCCCTCTGCCCCTGCGCAGCTGCCGAGGTCCGGAGACTTGGGAACCAAACTTGCGTCTGCAGTTTTGCGGGTGCCCGAGGCTTTGGTCCGCGCCCGCCGGCCTGAGGCTGGGAGGAGCAGGTGCCCCCCGCCCCAGGGCTCTCTCGCTTCTCTGCACCGTTGCGCTCGGGTTGAGCGTCTGGGTCTCACTTCCTGGAGGAGGTGGTGTTTCTGCAGCAACCCCACGCGCCGAGGGGTCTTTAAATTTATCTGTAGCCGCTTGCTACTTCTGGTCCTTTGTGCGTTGTCACGCCCTTTATCTCACTTCTCTACTTCTCATGTGTTTTCTCCTGTCTTTTAAACTTGTCTTTCAGATCGGTTATATTTTGCTACTTTAAGGAATAGACCCAAAAGCACAATACATACCCACTATTTCTCCATCGATGAGGAGCTGGTGTATGAAAAGTAAGTTTCGTTTTTTTTATTGGCTCTTTGGTAAATACATACTTTTTTTTAAAAGGTTCAGGTGCTTTGGGGAGACGTGCAGGGAGAATTAACGTGAGGCGTCTGTCAACACCTCAGGCTTTAGACCTCGGTGTATACTACTGCCTCCTACTCCCACGTAAGCAGCAGCTGTTAGGTTCCTCACGCTGCGGAGGGGGACCGGGCAGTTACAGCTCTGTCACTACCACACTGTCACTGGCTTGTGAGTCAGTCACCCAAGCATTTACGCGGCACCCACGAGGTACAGAGCAGTGTGTGTGCTGCAAGTGCTTCAGCTTCGCGGCTCACAAGGCTTCTGTTGTGTCTCAGGAGGTTCTTGTTTGTGTAGCTCGTGTTCCGAAGCTGGGACACGTGAGCTGCGGGCAGCTGTGTCCCAGTCGTGTCTGTGAGAGAGATTTTGCCTGAATGACAGATTACTGGTTGACTTAAGTGCTCCCAACTTGGTGTACTTTCTTTGCCTTTGAGGAAGTGGTATAGGAGTCCTCATGTACTTTCTTTGGTTACTTTGCTTCTGTGGGATTAGGATTTGAGGAGGTAAAACAGTAGGGAACTCTTTTATGTGAAAAAGAGGAAAAATATTTTAATGCATTAGGCTTAAAAACTAATTGAAGAGATAAGTTTGCATTCAAAAAAGCAGCAGATAGGAGTAAAAAAGCCTGAGCTGACTTGGTCACATTCTTTTAATATAAGAGCTGGTCTTTCAGAAGAGCCTACTAGGTTCTAATTTAAATATTTAATTTTGCTTTCTTAGCATAAGCAAATGTACAGTAGAATGAACACAGTCAAGTGAACCATAGTTTCCTAGGACTTGTCCTGTTACAAAGGATTTTGGCAGTTTTGCCTGAGGATTTATGGGTACTCCCAAGCCTTCAAAGAGCAAGCATGCTGGACCTTCAGGAGCGTATTTTTTATTTGAGGAGAAAGTGTTTAATCGCCACTTCGTGGCAGGGGTTCTTGAAGCTGATGTCTTCAGCACGTTTCTCTTCGTGGTGCTGGGATCGATGCTTCTTGAATGGCTGAAGTGAGAGTGCGAATGAAAGAGCCCTTTGCCGCTGCTCCTCAATGCCCAGGGCTGCCGAGGCAAAGAGGTCTAAATCCTTGGTGTCAGGTTACAGCTCTGCTGGGAGACAGAAAGGAGTTCTGCACAGCCTGCACCCTGACCCTGTGTACCTGGGTGATGTCACCGCCAGCAGTGTTTGTTAGCCGGGGTCTGTTGTTAGCAGTGTGCATTGTTGTGGCTTTCCTTTTGTGAGTGGAGGGTTCAGGGCGCTCTTGTGAGTCCGAGGTAGGGAGTTTGTGTATGCCTTCGTGTTCCCCTCGGCGGTGACTAAGGTACCAGAGATTATTAATATGCCATTGAACGAGCTCCCGTCGCTGAGGTCTGAGTCACTTCTCTTGGGATTGCTAGGTGGCGGATCTAGCAGAAAATTACATTCAGCCAACTAAACAGTGCACAATGGCTTTTTGATTCTGATACTGACTCGTGAGGAGAAATGGTCTGTGCAGTTGTACCGTTGGTATTTAGGATAGGACTGGCTACAAATCGTGCTTTTTGTATTTATTCCACTGTGTTTCTGGTGTCTGGTAAGGAATGGCTTGCTCCAGAGGCGAGTTTGGATGTCATTTGAAGCCATCGTGAGGACCTCCCTGGGCAGGGTGTGCCCCTTTTGGTGTGGACTCGCCGTCCTGTGCCCCCTCAGGGCTGCGGCCCCCAATTCTCCTGTGCCACCCCGGGTGTCATGCAGTGCTGGATGCCACAGCAGTGAGATGATGAGGGATGCAGGGGTTAGGAGCTGTCAAGTAGCAGGGTGAGTGTCAGGACTGCACCTAGAGGTGCAGGAAGGAAGGCTGCCCTGAGGGAGACGCAGCCCCCGCGGTGAGAGGGACGCACAGCCGCTGAGGGTATCGTGAGTCCTCCGCTTTGCCTGGTGTGCGTGCGGGTCACACGGGGAGATGCGGCTTGTGAAGCTGTGAGGTCGGCTGGGGACAGAAGGATTGCCAGGGTGAGGGACCTGCAGGTTCCTTGTATGCTATGCAAGGGCTCTTGTAAGAGTTCTGGGCAGGTACGGTGTGACTGGATTTGGACCACTTGCAAACAAGGGCAAATGCTAACCGAGCATCTCAAGGTGTGCCAGATGCTCTTCTAGGTGTTCCACCTGTTCATTTTGTTCTCAGAACAATGCCGTGAGGCAGGCAGGATTGCCATCCTGTTGTACAGTGGTGAGAATAAGGGACGGAGGGGTTAGGTAACTTGCCCAGGTCACAGAAATAAGAAGTAACAGAGCTGGAATATGAAACTAAGCCATGTGGTTCCAGAGGACATACATCCTCATTCCAAAAATTCACACAGTAGCATCATTTAAGACAGATTAGAGAGAAGGTAAGAACCTACTAGAAAGTTCTAGAGCGTCTAGGGGGAAGAAACAGGTACCTCTGTTAGGGTGATAGCCATGAGGATGGAAAGGTGGGCTGTGAATCCACGTGACACGGCAGTAGATCAGGCGGGTGAGTTGGGGGGCGCTGAGGAAAAGGTCAAAGAGGTTTTTAGCATAGCCTGGGCGGTGAGCCTGCGGGCGTCAGGAGCTGAAGCAAGGAAGTAGTGCGGAAGGACTGGCTTTGGCGGGAAGATCAAACATTCCATCTCGGCCAGGCTGAACTGAAGAAGTTTAGAGGGAGTCTGGCGTGGTGGCGATGATTGTAGTCCAGGCAGGAGGGTCATAAGTTCCAGCCAAGCCTGGACACCTTAGTGACTTCGCAAAATAAAAAATAAAAGTTGTCTGGGGATATAGCTCAGTGCAAAAGCCCTGGATTCAGTCCCCAAAAACAGGGGAAAAAAAAAAAATCAAGGGTTATTCACATCACTGCTGCATATCACATAAATGTGGAGTTCTTACATTTGTGAGTTCCCCAGGGAGATGATAAAGCTGTGAGAATGGTACAGCGGGGAGGACGAGAAGATACATCAGTCTGTATCGTAGAGGTAGGGCCAGGTTGAGAGAAGCAAGGGAAGGAGAAGAAATAAAAAGCCAGGGAGGTGGAGAAACCCCGAAGGGGAGGGAGGGCTGGAGGGAGGGGCAGAAGCAGTGGGGTCTCCTCCGCAGCTGCACCCTGTGTGTGTGGGCCGGGAGAGACTGCAGTCTCTAGGAGGATGTGGGCTTCCCGGAGTCTGTCTGCAGGGCACGTCCTGGAGGGAGGGGTGGGAGCTCCTGTCACCTCGGAACGTGCGTGCCCTAAGGAAAGGGGTATACTTGTATACGTCATCACAGAGGGCCTCTGCAGCCCTAGAGGTGTCGTTACTGGATGAAAGTTTCCGTGAAGCACTGCCTTTCTAGCTAAATTACCACCTTAGAAACTATTAAGTGGGCTCTTTAAATATTAGGCCGCAGATCTTCTGGACAGAGCAGTGTTTCGTGCAGACGTTTGTTTAGTTACGAAAGGGTAGTAGAACTGCACGATTAAAATGACAGCCTTCTGAGAAGCCAGTGGAGAAAATTAACAGTCACCTCATGGGGTGAAGGTATGAGGATGACAGTTTGAATGTACTTCCCGATTTTAAAACAGAATTTACCTCGTCACTATTGGCATGAGTAGTTTTAATGAAATGTGGGTAATAAAGAATCGTGTTGCGTCCTTAGGTCAGAATCTCCCAGGTCAGCATTAAAGCGGAGTAGAGGCCCATGGTGGCACCTGTAAGGCACACATGCCACAGCAGGCTGTTTGCCATCATTGAAAGCTGTAAAAGGTTCGCCATCGCGGGTGCAGGCTAAGGCTTGTGGTACGACCATAGCCCCCTGGGCAGGGAGCCTCTCAAGGACGATTTGTCTGTATTTGATGAAGCTACAGAAAACGCACAGCTCTCCAGAAAGGCTAGTTCTTTGGTACTGGAACTGGGCCCTATGACCCAGATCAACTGGGCCCTGTAACCCAGGTATCTTAATACCTTAGCTCAAGAGTTCTGGCTCCGGAGTTAGTAGCATCAAATATGTTGATTGTATGGCTTTTGTGTTCCTCCTAATGGGGCCTACGGGTGTGGGTTTGGTGTGAATGGCACAGAAAGCTGGCTAGCTGTGAGGGACAGTGCGTAGGCAGTGACGCGAACCTTTTAGAGCGTTCAGGGGTAACAGACAGCCCCCTGTGGCCTGAGTGCCGTGGGTTCACCACCACTGGCATGTGGGCTTCCTGTTCAGTCTTGTTCGTTTCCCTCCTCTTCCCGGGACCTGCAGAGGGACGGCATTGGCAAGCAGCAGAGATCTCTTCACGGAGATGACTGGGAGCTAGATTTTAAGCAGTTTCTGAAGAAATTTCCCCAAGTGTTTTAGCATGGTAAAAATGAGCAGCCTCTAATCAGTTTTTTGTTTAAACCTTATGAAAACACCCTGATTAATGCAACAAGGACGTTTTAGAAGAATGACTGGAGAACGTCTGTCACACAGATTAGAGTCCAAGTATGAGCACAGGACATGTTTGACGTATACAAAAACTTACCTAGAACTACTTTGGGGAATGAATAATTAGGGTAGGTGTAGCGAGAAGAAACACTTCGTGTTTTCAGTTTTTATTTCAAGTTTATTATGCAACAAGTCAGATGGTTTGGTGAGAAGTTGTGTGCCACGTAAGCTAATAGCGCGCACGCGCGCGCACACACACACACACACACACACACACACACCCGTCTGTGATCTTATGGAGCCTTAGGGTCATCATGTAGTGCTTTAGCTCTCATTATGAAGTGGTACGATACAGACAGAAGAGGAGATTTGGTTAAATTCAGGGCGAATTCACCATGTGCTGCTATAATCACCATTTTATAGATACGAAAACTGAGGCCCAGAGACATAGTCTGAGGTCACTGAACTAATACATGGCAGAGCCACAATTCAGGTCGCAGGCTGCCTTCTCGGGAGCCCATAGGCCTCCAGCGAGTTCCTGGCTGTCCCTTCTTGAGTGTGGTGGGAAGGGTG